GATTCTTGCTGATTAATTCAATTGAATGGCCATGATTTCTCTAATTTGTTTCGGCTCCTTTGAAACTATCGTGTTTACCATGGTCAATTCTATGGATTACAACATTCAAATAAGTCTTAATATCAATAAATTTGGGTCGGCTACATCATGACACCATCTACTGAACAATCTAATAAGTCAAATCCTTTGTATCGTTAGGGTACATTAATGTGCTCTCTCTCTCTCTCTCTCTCTCTCTTTCTCGCCGCCCCCCCCCCCCCCCCCCCCCCCCCCCCCGGCTGAGGCAATGCTACTAATCTATCTGTTTTCTGAATTAAGCATCAAAGAAGTTGCACGAATTACGGTCATGTTCTGAAGTTCATGCTCATTGCTTGTGTATTCCATCTCAAGGTTGGGTATCTCTATGTGCTAGGATATGGATATGTAATAGCAACATTGGCATCATCTGCAAGAATCACTTGTAAAAGTCATGGCAGAAAACAGAAGATTAAGACATCAAAGAGAGAAACCTTTTGATTTTATTTCCATATACACATAAATATGAGTTAGAAATTGATAATATAATGTTTAAATTTTATCATTTTATTAATTCATCGCATGGAGGATAAGTGACCAGACAACAATTACCACACTTGACTCGTATATGTAACAAAAAAGTTTGCAAAGCAAAACTAAAGCGACGACACTTGATTTAATCCATGAAACTTTTAGCTTGTTACATGATATAATAAAATACGCTAGTCTATTAGATCATAAAATATAACTTCACCACCCATCATTATAAAATGATGCATCAATAGCACGATGAGCAAAAGGGGTACTAATTATTACAACGTTTCCTTCACGGTAGCCTCTTCCATCCCCAGAATAAAGTCACGATCTTCAATGCCTTGTACGCTCTCTTAGTAGATTGAAGACTCTACAAGTCAACGGTAATAACACGTTATAAAAAATGCATGAGTAGCCAGGCTACTTACCCTGTATTAATAAGGCTGGTAACGAGTACTTCTATAAGGAACGGGTACAAAGGTCACCTACTAATGAAACTATTTCACTCGGCCAGCAAGAGTGCGAACTATCCTCTTGATTAAAGGAAAATGGTCATATTTATTTGTTTATGTATTTAAATTTTCTCTCTAAAATACTTCCTCACATGTAAATTTGATTTATCTTTCATCAAAATTGTGACACATAATTTTCCATGAATAAGTCACAGCAAGGGTCAATTAAGTCATACAGTTTAGAGTGTCTTTAATACAATCGTAGATTACTTTAAAAAATTGCATATAAAGCTAAAATAGGCGGTATTTTAAAAAAAAAAAAAAATTCTCTTCAATACAAGTTGTCAAGGATATGGCTGACGATAAATAGACAATATTTAAATGGAGGTCTAAATGTAGGGCCTTGTTTGATCCCCATTATTTTCTCATTAAAATAAAAAATATGATCGTTATCCATCACATCAAGTCACTATATTTGATTTTTTATCTGTTGTGTGGGACCCATAACGATTATATTTTTTATTCTCATTTTTACAATAATATGGCTCAAACGGGGGCTAAAGGTTATTTGAACATACTCACTCAGCATTTTAATCGATTCCATTTTTAGAATATTAATTTCTTTTTTTCTTTTCCATACTCTTATATTATTTTTATTTCAATCTTAATAATATTTAATAAATTCCAAATCAATTAAATGTCAAAATTTAGACTACTATGTAAGGATTTGAGTTACTTCTCTCTTGATCTTTTAAAATGAAATTTCAAGCATTTTTATTATGAGAGTCCATCAAGCTTCAATAAGCAATTTGTTTCGATTAATACTAAAATGAGTTCACGAATTTCAAGATTGATCTGTTCAAACGAATCACTATCATGTATGGACATATTAATGAATAAAATCTCAAACGGTTAGGTACCAAAATATAGAAAACATATAAGAATTTATGTTGCTACTCTTAACAAGATCGACATTATTTTCTCATTAAAATGAAAAATATGATCGTTATCCATCACATCAAGTCACTATATTTGATTTTTTATCTGTTGTGTGGGACCCATAACGATTATATTTTTTATTCTCATTTTTACAATAATATGACTCAAACGGGAGCTAAAGGTTATTTGAACATACTCACTCAGCATTTTAATCGATTCCATTTTTAGAATATTAATTTCTTTTTTTCTTTTCCATACTCTTATATTATTTTTATTTCAATCTTAATAATATTTAATAAATTCCAAATCAATTAAATGTCAAAATTTTGACTAATATGTAAGGATTTGAGTTACTTCTCTCTTGATCTTTTAAGATGAAATTTCAAGTATTTTTATTATGAGAGTCCATCAAGCTTCAATAAGCAATTTGTTTCGATTAATACTAAAATGAGTTCACGAATTTCAAAATTTATCTGTTCAAACGAGCCACTATCATGTAGAGACATATTAATGAATAAAATCTCAAACGGTTAGGTACCAAAATATAGAAAACCTATAAGAATTTATGTTGCTACTCTTAACAAGATCGACATTTTAAAATATAATCATAATCTTAATAAATAAAAGACATGTAAGTAAAAAATATAGACAGAACTAATTGAAAACCAATTTTATCCTTAAATATGTTCATTAGATATCAATGACACGTCAACTATGAACCCATCTATTTAAATGTAACGTAAATTACAATCTAAACAATGCATTGGAGATGCTTTTAGCACTCATTCATAATGACATCATTGCGTCCGTCTCTACACAGGCATTTTTTTCTTGGTTGCTTTATAATTTCCTTTTCGATATCTCGCCTCGAGAGTATTCCAAAAGTATACATGGTCATTAAAATTTGAGTGATTTAAATTGAATCTTTATAGCTTTTATATTTTGTTTGTCATAGTCTAATTTTGTCCAATATAAAACACTAAACATCTTGTAAGTCTATATATCTATTTATTAGATTTGATTCAAATATAGTAAATTGTTGAGTAATTAACAGCATAAAGCAATATGGAGCTATGTTCTTGTCCAATCTAAACAATAAGCAATATTGTTTTGATGTGTCGACGACACTTTCGGATACATTGGATAGACTGTGATGAAGTTAGAACTTTTTGAACTTTGTGTAAGATGATAAATTGTAGAATCTCCTTCAAGTAACAAATTCAAATGTGAAACATTACACAATGAATTTATATAAAGCGTATGAGAACGAGGAGTTATGACTAGCAAATGAAGTGAAGATGTAAAGTCTCGTCTATTTTTTTCTTCATGTTTATTTGGAGGCTAGGCCGCACCGCTCCTAAGTATGACCTACATTTTTTATTTTAATAAAATCATGCTACATTTAGTGGTAAAAAAAAATGTCATAAATCTAACTAGGGATCATAACTTAAAAGGTTCACTACTAGCTAGAAAATTTGCCAACAGCAGCAACAAAGAAATTTCGTTACTATTTATCGACAGATGCCTTCTGCTGTGTATTTCTGTCAGTATTGGCACATTGTCAATTAGTGCTGGCTCCAACTACGGCTCCAAGGATGCAAAAAAGATAAAAGTAGAAGTCTAGTTTCATTAAAATTCGTGCAATATATTCAAGATGAAAAATTCTAAATGAAGTGACAGGCCTTGTTGACAGTGGCTCAGTCTCAGTCCCTGACCTGAATTTTTGAAATTCAGATAAATGCAGATGAGGGGCTGTCAAGAACGGCTGATTCAAGATTATCTGAATTTGATTCTCATCTGGTAACTTTTTTGTAGATATATATATGAGTTGCAGGGCTGAGTTTTAGTATATGTTAAATTGTTGAACATAAAACTACAACATACCAAAAATATAACATTTCAATGTTTATTTATTTTTGAACAATTCTACAAGTACAGTATTTTGACATCATGGTTGACACCTTCACGATTGTGAGAGTGCTGTACACGTACAGTACTCTATACACACAACATTTTCCTTTATTTTTTCCCATATCATGAAAGCATTGGACTACCCTACCATGCCCTTTTCATGTCGTGCCCTGCCCTGTTGAGATGAATGAGTTACAATATGATTGTAAAACATATGACAGGCAAACAGTCTTTTTAATTGTATTAATGTGGTATTATAAACTTTCCAAACGAATATTGTTCCCCTATAAAAAGGGTTACAATCTTTTGGAGACTGAACAATCCCTTGATATCTTTCATGGGAAACAGCTCTTAATAGTACTAACACGTATATTTGTTAGGATCCACATAAAAAGAAAGGGGGGAACGAAACGTGACACAACATAATAAGACAAGACAAAACAATTATTTCTTTGGGAAAAAAAGGAGGAATGAAATCGTGCGAAATGTCATTTATAAAATTATTAATTATGTTTATAAAATCAATGTTTAAATATAAGTTTATCTTAATATTAATTGAATAATAAAATATCACAATCAATCTAATCCAAAGTTTTCAACTAATACACCATGCTATCTTAAAAATATACATATTATTCTTAATAAATTAATACTGAAAAAAATGTAACAAATTCTCGAATCAATTTTCTCAATCAAAATTTGTGATTAAAAAATTGATTCTTAATTGATGCTTATCCACTTCGTATTCTGATGGAAGATTTTGAATTGATTGTTGGTGGAAACTGATGAAATCAAAAGAATAGTGGACAGCCAATACATAGCTTAAAATTTAACTTGTGAATTTTTCAATATATTAATTAAAATCCACAATTAAGTAATTTTAGATTAGATTCCATAATTAAGTTAATTTTTGGTTTGAAATTTTCTGAATATTGTGGACCAAAGTTTATATAAAGTTTCCGTTAAGTTTCCGAGTTTTTCTTTTAAGAATATTAGTTTCTGAAACGATTTCGAGAGTTTTCAAAGTGTTTTGATTTCCGAAACATGTTCGAAGTGGAAACACGAGATTTCTGTGCATCCTTAAAAATAATAATAATAAATAAATAAATAATCATGCTATAAATCTCTTGGCATATATCGAAAATAATCAAATTAAAACGTCCCCAAATACAAAGGGTATATGTCTAATTAATATTCATGACAAAAGTTCACAAAATTAAAGATTGAGCTCTGCTTAATTCATCAAAAACTCACTTAAAATATGAAATCGAAATGAAAAAAGAACATGGGAAATTAACGAAAAGAAGTAACAGGGAAAATTAAATAAGAGTAACATTTTGGCTTCTTATCATTTGAATCCTTGTATCTTGATTGTCTCTTAGTATGAACGCTTGTTACTTGACTCCCTTGGTGCATTGCAACTGAAGCATTCCGTCCTGCTAGCAAAGTTGTGTTCGTTGCATCCTGGCCTGTTTATTCGCAATTTAAAATTTCAAATACGACTATATCAGATATATTTTTAGAAAATATCTTAAATCTAGAATATTATCTACTCTAATTTTATATTAAAAAAGTACACCTTAAAATTTTAAGCCATTAAAAAATAATGAAATTTTATGTGTATATTATATCTCAGCATATATAACACAACGTGCTGCAAACAAAAATTATTAGGTTGTGTTCATGTTAGTTTTAGCCCCTGTAGTTTAGCGCGGAGGCATTTGGTTACGAGTTCGAATCCCCCTACCAACACTTTCTCAATCGAGTCTGTCACACAGGGCTTGTCTAGTGCAGTTTACCTAGCTGGCGTGATTTGCAGGCTATTGCGTCGACTCAAAAATTTACCCAGTGCGCACCCGAAGGGTAACGACTGTAAGTTCTCCCGTCATTAAAAAAAATGATAATAATATGAGTGAAAATTAACAGTTAATTTTAACCATACATTTCATAGAATTTACAATGTTTCAACCACATAATATTTTATCAACTTTTATTAAAAATTTAATTTTAATCTCTATCAAACAGAATATTAATAAATTATCAGGCTCTCGAACAAAATATGGCATCACATGTTTGACTTAGCTTAAGAAATTTGCTTAGGAGAAGTAAACATTTTTTTATAATGATAAAAGTTATAAGCAAGTTGTTTACTTTTAAATTAACTTATTTAATTGTGAAGTTGATTTTGCGTAGGTTTGAGAGCGAATGGAATTTACCGGGCGCAAATCCAGTCACCAGATTTCCATCCAGAGCGGCCGCCGCCACTGCTGCTGCTGCCGCCAAACCCATATCCTCTAGGCCGCGACGTCTCAGCATCAAAGTCGCCGCCACCGGAGGAGTCATGATCCTTAAGTGCTCCACACTTGAAGCAGCTGGAGCGGCTGGCGAAGTTGTGTGCTCCACAGTTCCCCATTGCGCAGTACCAGTCACCAGGCCTTACATCGGGGCCGGTCAACCCGAACGAAGAACTGCCACCTCTTCCACCAAAACTAAGTCCATAATCACTGGGTCTTGGCTCACCACATCGTTGGCAGGAGTCCCTTCTCTGGAAGTTTAGGTGTTGGCACGATCTGCAGTTCCAATCTCCAGGCCTGCTCATTGTTCCTGATTCCAGAAAATATCTTAAATGGTTATGCCTAATCCAGATTCCTAGATAGCAATGAGCAAAATTAGAAATGCACAAATTTATAATGGTTGTTTATGAATGGTGGAGCTATGCCACTTGCTCATGTAGGTTTTTACTAAAATGAAGAAGAAGGTGTTTTTAACGGAAATCTGACACTTCAATCTTTCTCTCTCGTACACTGAGGAAAAACAGTTCTCCTAGATTCCTCGCGTTAAATGAATCCAATATTCTGAACATGCATCTCATTTTTGAACCATATAATGTATTAAACAGTTAGAAAGATTCAAATCTTTACGTGTACAATTTTTACAAACGAGTGTGAATGGAACTTGCGAATGACGAAATCTCTACACTGTTAAAACACTTTTTTGGGGTAGGGCCTATCTCTAAACTAAGAGTAATGATATTTAACCCTACTGATAGTCCATTAAGTATCCTTAAACGATTGGACAGCCTATATATATGAAGATATATGAGTCATATCCTGGTATAAAAAACGAGTGAAGTTAAATAGCATTATTTGTAAACTAACTAAGTGATTTGATGATGAATTACTTCAGCTAAGAAATTCGTGCGTGTACATGTGCATAAAACATAAGAACTGAATCAATTTGCAAGAGGTATAAAGAGATCCTCATATGCTGATATGTTAAAATGGAAGAGTGCAATGCATACTAATAGCAAAGTACATGAACATTTATTTCTTGGGATGGCCCTAGAAACGAGTTTTACTTACAGAATGTCGATAAAAACTAACCTTAAAAACACAAAGAATATCAGTGATTTTGAACTGATGTAGCTGTTGAAGAGTAAGAGGATTTTGAAAGGAAAACTTGTGAATTTGGTAAAGACTGGCATGGTTTATATACTAGTTAAAGTTGTTGATTATCGAGGCAGGTTGTAAGGCTAAGGAGGTTCTTTTTCATATTCTTCACTTGCCGTCTTGGAATCAATAAAAATTAATAAAAGAAAAGGACAGTATATTTAAAATGAGATTCCAAAATTGTGAAGTTCGATAAAGCCCGAGTTGCAACTGCTTGTTGGATTCATGAAGACAACTCGACAAATTCTAGTCCGACATTTCAATAGTGATCACTTTTTATGTGATTTGTCTCTATTTCACTGTTTAAACATTTAAATCAGTGTAAATTTTAGATGATGCGATATAAAAATTTGAATTCAAGTCTCACTAATACTGATTCAATATACACATATTTTAAATGAATAAGGTCTATACAGAAATGCAATGAAGATGATATTTTAATATTTCATTTGTTAGACGTCATTTCGTTTTTTATGTTTATCTGAAAACGTTATGACTTACAATTAGCTAGTCAAATAAATTGTGTATATTTATCAGTTACCAACAAATCAATGAGTTAACAGATTACTGAGATCACGTTATTTTTTCATTAATCATGTCAACATTTTCATCCATTATAGAGTAGAAGGTGTACGAAGTGTTTTAATTGGATTTAAGTAATTCAATTCATAAAAGTCTTAAATACTATTTAAATAAAAAATGCATAGTACCAGACTAATAGAATTGTTGAGCACTTTATTCCAACAGACCCACCTAATGATAGGAAGAGAAAGAGCAAAATTTTAATAATGAAAACCACCAAGATGTTATTTATACACACACACACATAACAGATGTCTCTAGCTAGAATATCTCTATATGTGCCTGTTCGATTTTGGGAAGATGAATGTGTGATTAACCTTAGAGCTATAGAATCCTTGGATCATTCTGTAGTACAAGCCCAATAATGACATGCATACTATTGTCCACACTCCCCATGACAATTGAATTCTTGCTTATAACATCTCTGTTACAACTATAAATTGCTTAAAAATTATACCACATAAGTAAAAATAGATGGTGCTTAAAAAATTTTCTTCAATACAAGTCCTATTTTGTTGTTTAACATTAGTAAAAATAGATAATGTTTAGAGCTCTAAATTCGAAAGTTCTCTCAAACGGAGTGTTTCCTTTTTCAGATTTATTTTTATTATCCATACTTTGATGTTGGAGACTGTTTTTAAACTTGGTCTTTTTATTAGATAATATCACCTGGATTGACATTCTTTCACTTTCTGAAACCATCTAGATTGCAATTCATAAAAAATATTGAAAATGTTCTTATTAGATAGCAATTCATAAAATATATTGAAAACGCTCTTATTGTATATGTATTATACTAGGAAAAATTGCAGTGAGGTCGCAAACCTTTTATTTTTTGCTATGTCATCCCAAACATTTGGTAACATATGCGATTGAAGGATCTTTCAGACGGTAATGGTCCAAAAAATTGTTACTTCAGCATGAATATCAGTTGTCCACTTTAGAAGGATAAATACATTATTATATTAAAAACAACTAAAACGGAAAGAGAGGGATAAGAAGAAAAAGTTAATAAAAAATAGTCAAAAACAAAAAAAATTAAAAAATAAATAATAATAAAATGTCTCATATCCTCCCTGACACCGACCCCTCCCTGCCATCACCATTGTCACCACAAGCTAGGGACAAGGAATACCCTTAGTTTTTGCCATCACCGGGGGAGATTTCTCCCAATGTTTCCTACTCAAATCCGCATGCTTGGGTAACATGAAAGCATTTGCGGAGAGATCCTCCCAATGGCGGTTGCAGTGTGCGGTGAATGTTGTCCTTGGGCTCGGAGTTGATGTAATTATCCTAACTAAAGTTAAGAAATTACTCGTTTATTTATTGAAAAAGATTAGACATGTGCACTACATGGCAATCTAACAGAGTTTTAATACTTGCCATTCAAAGGTCATTTGGTCACATATTTTACCAAACATTTGGGATGTCAGAAAATAAAAACTTTGGGATTATTTGCATTTTTTAAAATATTTGAAATCATAGTATAGTTTTCCCTATTGGTGTATTGGATAAGTAAGAACAAGACGAAATATGACATGTTTGAATATTCCACGCATTTTTAATCCTTTTAAAACGGGCCCACAACCTCATTCTTATCTTAGAATTACAAAGAGGGGTCATGTCTCCCTATCAATAATATACCCCCCATGCCCACATTAAGCAGTCAGTGTATGTACTGAAGAAAAAATTTCACTCCTTTTTTATTTTTTGAATATTCTTGTTTCCTGCTTGAAATTTGAGGAATGTTAGGTTTATGAAAACATGAGAAAATGTAGGTGGGAGACAAAAATATATGCACTTAAATTATAGTTAAGACATCTCTTCACATGTATGTTACATTTTTCGTCTAAACCATGCCATGTAGACAATTTTCCATCTCAATTCGAATGGTTTATAAATCACACAAAAATGATTTATTATGATTTTGACTGGTTTGCTCAATTCACCAAATCAATCGAGTTTGACTGTTTCTCATATTCTCTTATAATCTTATCCTCTACAAAATAATTAATTCCAACCAACATATTTTTTTCAAAACTAACTTGTAATTAAAAATATACTAACTAAAAATATTATTTATAAGCAAAATAATTACATTATTAACTAAAATATTACTTATAAGATAAAAAAAAAAAAAAAAAAACAGTGTTTATAAAATAGAATTACTACTAATAAGATATAATTTCACTTAAAAAATTTAAAAATTTACTTAAAAATTATTCAAAGGTAAAAAATTAATTTATAATTGTAAAGTTTACTTAACAGTAAAGAAATACTAACTTAGAATTTTAATTAAATATTTAACTTTATTTAACTTATTAAGTTAAATATTAACTTATATGTAAAAATAAAAAATGAAAAATTATGTATACGTAAAGTATCACTTACGAGTAAAAAAATTCATACTAGAAATTATAAATTGAAAATTTCACTAAGGGACATATATGTAGTTTTATTCTTTTGAAAAACTTTTAGAATTTGTGGATAATAAACTTTAAAGCATAAGTCTGACTGCTTTAAAATTACTGCCAAAATCACTCAAAATTAATTCGCTCATAAAGTTTAAAATTGGTACTTCAAAAATGCTCATAATTGATACCCCGTAACTCCCAAACAGGCCATAAATTAATTTAAAGTTGCATGCTGGATTTAACAAAAATTCCGTTGTTAAGATAACTAATAAATTGAAGAGAATGGCCATTCTTTTGAAGGGATTAAAAAAAGAAAAAAAAGGATGATTAAGAGAATCAATGGAAGGGTTCAAAATGGAAGAAAGTGAAAATGGCAGAATTTCGATAAAGAAAGTTGAAGCTGATGATACAAAGAGAAGTCTTCGAGGTGCAATTTGACCATCTTTTCTTTTTATACATTCTCTTTTTCGTCTACTCTATTTGCCTTTTTTGCTGTCACATTTCATTTTTTCCTTTTTGTCTTTCTCCAATACTTGTTTGCATGGAAAACTAATTGAAACGTGAAAAGCAGTACGTCAACTCGATAAGTAAGCAGCATATTTCTAAAAATAATAGGACACGAAACGGAAACACTGTTGAAATTATCATTAAAATTACAACTTATTTTTAGAAATACTATATTTTACTTTTTATAAAAGGTATTCAACATTAACTCATAAATACGACATTTTACCTAACTCTCTTTATGTTTAAAGCAAAGCAGCAGTAGACCATCTCGTATAAATGAGAGAAGAAAATAGGGGCCCCCCAGGGCACATTCAAGTTGGCGGAACAATCACATTGAGGGGCTCTGGAACCAAGCATGGGGAGTTCGATTTCTGGTTGGAACATTTGATCCAATAAAGGAGGAATTATTGGTGGATTAATCATCATGGAGGAGGCTTCCTTTGGGGAATGAGTAAAAAGTCATGTGGGAACCTGGGAACCAATAAGGGCACATCCTACGATTTACCTCCCTGAACAGCTGAGGGGCCGGAGGTTCAGGGACGAGGATATATAGTCTGACGCAAGTTGGGACACCTCGTTTAAAAAAAAAAAAAAGAGAAGAAAATAGGGGAGGAGAAAAAAAAAAAGAAATGAATAAGTATTACCCACCATTTTCTTGGGGAATGGTAAAGAGAGCTGTAGCAAACTGAGAAAAAGCAAAAAGAAAGGGAGAAATAATTCAACATTCTCACTTTGGGAAATGGTTCCATGCAAGACCATGACCACTACTCATTGCCCCCTAACGTACACATGCTATCTTCTTATTGTCGATGGAGTGAGCACTAAGGAGTTCATTCCGACTATTTGTATTGGTCTAAATCTCTTTAATTCCTTATAATACACCAGACCTGACTCGATTTCTCTAAGAATTTAGTTCATAGAACGAGTAAAATCTCTTCATCACATTAGCATATGTCTAGGAGAATTTTCATCAAATTTGTTGGGAAAATCATACCGTTGTATAGTAGAGGCAACCACAATTATTGACCAATTTCAAGTAGAATGAACAATATGCCCCTTTAACATTTAATTCAATATTCTTTAGAGAAGGCCAATTTTGGTATTTTGTTTCATATGGAGTCAAAAATGACAGCACAAATGGGGACCAATACTGATGTAGATCAAATCTACAAACACATAATGATAGTAACTCAAACGGATTGAATTCAAGAAAATCAACGTTTTTACCTATTTCATGAGCAATCAAAAACTTAGAAGGCATTTTCAGAGCCTTAAATATTAAAAGAACAAATAACCTACTCGTGAAATTTTATTTTTTGATTTGTATCTTTAGTTTTTGGAAACTTATAAAGTTCTTCTGTCAAACCCTGATCAATGAACCTACAAAATCCTTAAAATTGTATCTGATTAAATCCAAGTACCTTAATGGGTTGGGCAATAAAGCGAAAATAACAAATACTGAAAATAATAAACTAAGAAACTTTAAACGCTGTTTTGATCCAGTAAACGAA